TGTAAAACATTAGATTGATTTTTTGTTATTAAATTAAAATATTAAATATTTGATGGTAGCACAATTATAAATCAATGTTATTTGTTTGTAGAGAGAGAGAGAGAGAGAGATTGAGTATACATACGTATATTGTATATGATTATTATGTAAGGCTTGGGCATAGGGTGACCAGAACGTCCTTTTTATGGGTTTTGTCCTTTTTTCGACCTCTAAAAACAGGGTCGGGAAGGACGCGTCCTTTTTTTAAATTTTAGTAATTTTAATATAAACAAATTAATATGTTTTAAAATATTAGAAATATCATTGATTGCAATGCACTGTACATCTGTAAAGCTGTAAAGTTTAGACATTACAGCACACGAACAGTAAATAATAATAATAAAGTAGAAATATAATTAAAAATGTTGTAATTGTTAACAGAAAACTATTATAAAAATCAAATAATTTTGTTTATTAAAAGTGTTTTCATTTAAATATTCATTTAAAATGTCTGAGGAAAATGCATAGGGATAAAAAATTTTGCGTCCTTTTTTGCCCTTTTTTAAATGACTATTTTATATCAGTCGTCCTTTTTTACGAGGATTTTTGGTGGTCACCCTACTCGGACACTACAATATCGGTTAGACACCAATGATTTGGCGGACACCGATTGGATCGTACACTCGGACGAAGAAACAGTGATGACTGAGCAGTCCGTTCGGGAAATTGTTAACTTTGTGGCCGATGGCCGACACGACTTCGGTCAGGGGCTCATCACTTACGCCGACCAACAGGTGGTGAACGCATGGACTACGCTTATGGATACGCGTAGGATTGCAATGGATTTGGGAGTGTACAGGTTTCAAATGAAATATTTTAATTGCGCATCATTCGGTTGGAAAGGTAATTGCATTTATTTACTTTAACTAAACTTAATATTATTGAATGTTGGTCAAACTCCAAATTGTACCAGGCTCATTTATGATGTGTCGAGTGAAGGCCGAGATGGACATATCGTTTGACAACGGATTGGACGGTTCGGTCCTGGGTTGCCTGGGTTTTACCTGGGTTGAGGGCACAATGTAGGAAAAATCACCTTTCACCATTTGAGATTATATTGAACAGCGCACTCGTTGGTTTCAAGGGGTTTGGCTGGTTATTCATGTAACAAAAATACCATATTTGATTAAACTTCCCATGGTGATGTCATTTTACAGCTATATGACCAAGCCACTGCACGTTTTGTTGGCAATTCTTGTGTATTTTATGCTCCAATACTCTATTCAATATATTTGTTTATTACATATGTTTAAAAGTTCAGTCAATAATTATATGTTTATTTTTGGCGCGTATAAGGGATTTGATGTCACGAAACTCGGTGTCAAACGGTATGTGATGTATATGTTTGTCACACTTTTGGCAATACCTATGAGTTTCTGCGCAGACATAATAATTGTAATCAACGTTTTGACAACTAATAAGTATAAGTTTTATATAGTTGATAAACATCTATAAATTTATTTAAATAATTCACACG